CCCCAAAACCCCAAAACCCCAAAACCCCAGCTATAAAATCCCAATAGAATTCTTAAATTATAAAAATGAGTAAACTTAAGGCTACATTCAACTGGGTTAAAGACAAGATTAAGGCCAAAGATATCTTCAACCATAAAATATGCCTCACTCATAATGGAAGTGATAGGTATAGCTCGTTTGTAGGTGGATGCACTTTTATTGTGGTCGTTGCGTTTTTGATGGTCTATGGAGGACTCTTGTTCGTGTCTATGTTCAGGAGAAGAGAGATTACAGCGAATGTTAAGTAGGTGTTGGTGGGTTATAGTTTAGTGTTTTTAAGGGTGATCTTAAAGATAATGGAGCATTTGGATATACCTCAACAGCAGGTTCTCTTGCAGAAGGAATTAAATTGACTGATGGGCCTTATATCGCTGTTAATTTTACGCCTTCTATGTCTACTCATTTATTTGGAAGTGATGGGTCAGATTTAGTGCCTGCTTCAGAAGCATTCAATGTCTGGGCATTTTATGAAGATCTTGATGCAGATACACAAGAATCTTATAATTATAACGCTACTATCTTACATTTTGAGACCTGTAATGAAGATAATTTCCCGAATTTATCTAAGCTAGGTGAAACCATCAATCAATTCAAATGTCTGAACCTGAAAGGACTCGAACTGCAAGGAGATATTTTGAATGGAAAGAGAAAAGCTATCAGGTTTCAAGTAGATATTAACGCAAATAAGGTATAGTAACCACATTTTAGTGCCTGTTTGAGATATTAATAAGGTATCTGAAGATATAGTAATTCATGATGATAGGGCAATCAAGCTCTGTGCTAACCTGATAAATTTTATTTCATAATCCTAGAGAGTCCTAAAATGATACCAAATATGTTTAGATTGATCGATTTATTTCGGTAGGAAAATACATCTTCATTACTCCATGCTACTCAATACAACATTTTCTCTGATAAGTCATTGTTTGCGTGAATCTTTTAAAGTTCAGCTTAAGATAAAGTTTATTTTGTAAACATGGCAACAAAGTTTTAATTTATCTCTTTCAGTACTGTCTATTTTATACAATAGTTTGCTATACAGGAGAAGATTAATTTTTAAATATAGAATGGAGTTAATATAGATATCAGAGATTATGAAACTTTGAATAAATATATGTATGGAGCTCAGCTTATGGTAATAATTGACAACAAATTCTTTGATTTTCAAAATATTGAGGAGCCAGTCCAAAACTATTTTCAATATGAGACATTTGTAGTCCCAGATGCATATCACAAACTAAGTGTTAGTCTTAAGGTTAGAAAGAATACATTTACAAAAAGAGATGGGTTCTTTCCTTGGTCAGCCGAAGAAGAAGGAGAGTTTCATTCAATTGAAAAGACTTCGGATATTATTTTTTCTAATGCAGCTCCTCCTCCTCTTGATTGGTATATAGAGACTACTCCGATAATTTCAGGGGCTATTTCTCTGGATTATGAGCAGACCTTTTATGAGAGAAGAGTTACTGACCTATTAGAAGTGACAGGCCAACTCGGAGGTATCTTCGAACTTTATGAAATCATTGGAGGATTTATCATTGGCTGGTTGTCCTCTAGAGCTCTTAATGATGAGATTTATGTAAATCTCGAAAAAGCTGAAAAAGTCTACAAAAATCAAGTCAAAATATTAGAAGTAATTTATATGTTTGTAAATTCTATAACATATCTCAATACCAAATAGTTATTTTTAAATTAGAATGCCTTATTATTGCTTCAAGGTTATATTTCTTAACCAAGCTTACTCTAAATATAATAAGTAACACAAACAAATTCTAATAAGATCTCCTAGCAGTTGCACTAACAGTAGTGATGATTAATTTTACCTCTTGAAACTACATTCTAAATAAACTTGATTAAGAATATTTCTCTTTTTAAGATATCAACACTTTTAAATACATTTTTAGGAACTTGAAAGGAAAGCACAAGAAGAGCAGAGTAGTAGCGAGCAAGAGTCCAGAGATAGTAATAGTGATGAAGATAGTAGTTCGGAAGATGAAAAACAGTTAGAAGGAGGTAGAGAAAGTCAGAATCATCAAGTCAAAGGATCTAACAAATGTAAGTTACTCAAAAATGTTGTGTTTTTGTTTGTTTAACAAATTAACCAAATGGTTTAGATAAAGATGATGGTATCATCGAAGTTAGGTCACCTGGGTCTGAATATAATTAGACTTTTGGACACGTACAACTACGAGCTTGATAGTACAAATCTAACTTTTTCGATTCGAGAGCTTAAAAATAAAATGGAATATTTGCTCTCAAAAGATGTTGATTACCAAGAAGCTATAAGTAATCTATTTATAACCCTACTCAAGAGTACCATTTCTAGAGAACAAAAACCCCAACATCATCAACCTAAACTCCTTCCCAGAACCCTCCAAACCCCCTAAACCTCCCCAAGAAGCCTCCTCTCTCTTCCCCACTCCCTCCTCTTCTCTCCCCCACCCATCATCCTCCACTCTAAACCTGCTCAGTAATCCCAGTCTAAACTCTAGATCGCTACAAGTCTTCACTCAGATCTCCAGAGAGGCATGCACAGAATAAGGCTCAGAAGGATAGGATGAGAAGGACAGAGGTTTATAAGGAGGAGGAGGTATTAAGAGGTGGGGTGGAGGGGGAGGGGGAGGAGGATAGGAGGAAGGGAGGAAGGAAGGAAGGAAGGAAGGAGGGAGAGGAGGTTTTGAAGGGGTTTTAGGGGGGTGGTTTGGGGAATGGAGGGGGAGGTAGGGTTTTGGGGTGATTAGGGTTTTGGGGTGGAGATAAATGGGTGGATAATTAGAAATAGTGGAAATATAATATAGAGATTAAATAATATCATAGTCATAAAGTTTATTGCTTTATTTAATTAACAAAGGATCATAGTACTAGATACTGATAATTTAACATAGATAAAATCTCATATAAAGTCAAAATACAAAGCTCAAGAAGAAAATAAGCTCTAATTCATACTACAAAAAATTGACCAACACCAAACCCCCTCATTTCTAAAACCTTCAATTATAAACACCCCTCCTGGGGTTTTGGGGTTTTGGGGTTTTGGGGTTTTGGGG